TATTCTTCGTACGTAGAATATGTATTTGCATGAGAGACAAAATATGCTAGTGATAAAGGCAGGATGAAAATAAACATTTCAATTTGGTAACAATACAACTGTATCCAGACCCCTTAAAAAGGATATTTTTTTTGAAAAATTTACAGCCAACTCGTTCGCTGCAAACTGCAGTAGATGTAACAGTTACTGTGCACAACGTCACTGCCAGGAAGGATCGTGTAACTGGTGGACAAGTAACTGCTCTTGTTACAACTGTCTTCGCAAGGGAGGCAAGGTCTGTAAATTGTATTCTTCATCATATTTCATGCAGCACACATAAAGAAATATATTTTTAAAAAGTTATATGTCTTTCTAGCTGTATTTCTCTGACAAAATCGTGCCCAGTGGCCATGCAACAGTAAATTCAAATTCATCAGCAGGGACTTTTGTTTGATAGTGATGGCCAAAAGTATATTTTGGAGGGGGAGAATTTTGTTTCTTTAACGTCACCCATCCCCAAAATATGTGTTTTCCATTAATATTAATTATTTGGGCTTTTAATCCTTCTATTAAACAGAATGTACAAAATATACATTTTTTAAACTTGTTTATTTTGAAATAGAGCTAAATATAGACTCACATTGAATGATTAACATAGCATGAGTCTTAAGTTTATTTTGCTCTATTTCAATTCAAAATAATCCGAATTTTAATTTTATATACTCTTTCAATTGTTGATTTTAGTGTTTATTTTAATTAATTTACTAAAAATAAAAATATTTTATTCCAACAGAATGCTGTGCCTAAAAAGAAAGTTTTGGAGAAGATGATGCTTAAAGGCCAATAAAAATGAAACAACTGAAAAAATAAAGAGTTGGTCAATCTATATTACAAACTGTTTTTGCCTTCTCTTTTTCTTTTTTTTTTCAACACCAGACTTAGCTAAATGAGTTCGATGTGAGCAGAACATGTAATACTCAATGTGCTGAGCAGTTTTATTTTACATACTAGCATGTTCCCTATGGAAACATTTGTTCAAATTATGACCTCGGGGTAAAGTGGTATCGTAATATAGTAATTTGAGTTTTACATAGAAAAATTAGGACAAAATTTTTGTAAATATTTTTACCAAGAACAGCAAAGCAATTATTTCATATTAGTATAGAAGCATCTTCAGGTAGTGTAGATTCAAGTTTAATTTTAATCATATGGGATAAGATGGAACAATATGCATGTATTAGCGATCAAAATTTTACATAGAAAAAAAATATACAGGAAAAAGATTTTTTCACAGGATCATACATGTATTGATATGAGAGATTTCTTAGATTTAGGGTTGTTCAAATCTGGCATGGCCTCTTTGGTTAGGTTGTGGCCATCTCCAATATGGCGACCAATGGGAAATAGCTAATGCTAAATTCAGGCTAAATCTAAATCCAAATCTATGCATATGCAATAATCAAAAGAACGAGATTGATTGATATTCTGCAGGATTCGCGGCGCACTGGAAAAAAGACTGTCAAATTCATGCTAACATTCTTTTTTTCGATTACGGGGCATAAAAACTTTTAATTTTTTTTCTTAAGATTAAGGCATATCGACACACAAACTCCTTTGGTTTTGTTCAAATTATAACCCCCATATTTGAAGATATAGATAATTTGCCGGCGATATCTAAAGAAGCTTTTGAGTTTCCCAATTAAATTTTATACCATGATGAAAAATAACTGCCACCCTCCCCCGTCCCTTCGTTCGGCTGTATTTCTGTCTGTCTGAAACACTTTTGGTATCTCGAGAGGCCTTTGAACTTTGGTTTTAGTAGAGGCTAAACTAGACACCGTTTTTGGGAGTTGAACTATGTTCAATCTCCCTTAGTCATCACGCGGTTTCTAGCGCAGTAATGTGTATTGTATAGTGGCCGTCCGTGGGAATTCTGTGTCGACCAATTTATTCCTGTGCTATTCAATATAAACTTGCAGAAACGTCCGCCGTAAAATAGTCCATCTCATTTTTCTGAATTTATTTAATTTTGATAAATGAAATGAAAGTAAATGAAATTGAATTTCATTTAACTTAATTTGAATATTATATTTTACAGAATTTGAAATTGATTTATACAGAACTAAAGAAAATGTTGAAAATTTCCTATTCTGCAAATTATCCAACCTCTGTCCGCGTAAAAACGATTTCATTTAGGGAAATACAGCAAAGTCACGTTAATATAAATATACGAGGGTTGTCCCGTAAAATCGTAGACAAAGCGTTTTTCTCGAAAAGTAATGGGCGCACTAAGCTGAAAATTTCAGTAAATGTTTATTTATCATATTTAAGTGCATGATAATTTTTTTGATAAAATATAGGCAAAAATAAAGATTTTATTATGCTTGAATGTGCACGAGGTATTGTCCTACGGCGCACGGTCAAAAAACCAAGGTTTTATTAAAGAATACACAAGTTGAATTCAAAATAAAAGTTTTAAATGCATAAGATTTGGATTAAAATTATACTAATTCAATTCCACAATCAATTTTGTAGTCGTTGTAAAAATTTTATGGCATTTGCTTAATTTTTGGCAGTTTCTCGAGTATTTGAAATAGGAAAGTGGTAAACACAACACACAAAAATGGCGACGTTTTATGACGTTACGGCGCACCGGAGAACAGTTCAGTTTTATTTCGATGTTGAAATGACACACCTTTAGAGACTTGAAATGACCATAGAAGAAAAAAGATTATAAAAATATCGCCATACCTTAAGTATACAAATGAAATAGGAGTTTTCTTAGCGAAGTTCTTTTTATCGAGTCTCTGGGGAGTACAAAACTTACGGACAAACTCCTAATGTAATAGCAAAAGACGCTGTCTCAGTAGACCGCCGATATGAGATTTTCTATTAGTTGAATGATGGTGAGAATATTGTCCGTAAGTTACAGATAAATTTTCAGAAGATCGCATAAAGGTGCCAATTGGTTCTTCGACTGTTTATGGAGACTAAAGAATGTGTATCAATGAAATTTCTAAATTTAAGTCGGACTCATCCAACTTTATTTTCAGCAAAGATAAAACGTGACGCTGTATTACACACTTTGACGTTATAATTCATGCGCCGTAAGGTGATATAATACATGGCATAAAATCACATAATTTGTTTATTTATGCATATATTTATCTGAAATTTGCTGTATATTTTACTAAAATATGTACTAAATAATAGTGAAAATTTCAGAACGCAGTGATGTATATTTTTTACACTAGACAACTTGTCCACGAATTTACGGGACAGCCCTCGTATTAATATTCATGAAAAGGTAAAACATAAGAAATAGTGTCTGATGATGGTAACACTGAAAGTAAAAAGTGCTTGTTTTTTGGTACCAAAAATTTTGTACACATTCAGAATAGAGTAGGAAGGGCGTTTTGATATAAATGTTTCATAAGTATTTTAGACAAGTGCATGTATACCAATGTTAGTAAATTAAGGAATAAAGCCAAGAAGATAAAGATTTTATTTTAAGAAATTGGGATGAGCTCCCCCACTTTTTTCCAACCATAAAATTTTACTATAATTGTAAATGTTATTGAAAGTTAACTGCCTTTTGTTGTTGCAAATAGTCAAATAAGGGTAGTGTATGAGTAATATATAGTACTGAAAGAAGTTTGAAACCTATTACATGTAGCTGCAGATCTGTAGCGTTATTTTTTTATGTATTTGTTTGTTACCATAAGGTTACAGATTCCGTAAAGCAAAACAGGTGCAATGTAAGGCGCAATATTTTTTGCGCACTTTTGGGGAGAATTTCTACACTTTCTAGCATCGGTCAATCAACTAACTTTCACTCCCTATATAGTGCTTCTAAATAATGTTTGGTTTTATATCTCTTTCAAATCTGCACTTGTATCTAAAAGCTGCATGCCCTCGTGATCTTCGTTATTCAAATCTAATTGAAAATCATTTTTAATGTTTGATGTTGTATCTCTAACAAATGTGCTCTAGTTTACTTGTATCTAAAAGTATGAAAATGTTCCTCTACTTCCTGTGAGATCTCTCACATTACAATGTTCAACTCCCCCGAATACTTTAAGTACTTTGATTTTTTGTAGTTGTTTCTTTGTGAAAACAACAAAATTGAAATTTTGACAATGTAGAAGGTGATGTAAACATATATATACGAGCATGCATACGATATGTATATGACCTATTGATTGCATTCAATTCCTCGTTAAATCAAGTTCGTCGATGGTCCAGCGGGAAGATTCTCCGTTAGCTTACAAGCCGGCTTCTCAAATCCCGGTTGATCCTATTATTTATTTTTTATTTTTTTTAAAACATAACTAAATGATAATATTAAGCATCAGAAATGAAGAATTTATGTGACGTATGGCGTGTACAAAATATTGTTTGATAGATTTTTATATTAAACGCATCTTTATACATGTTTTAATTAAAGAATAAGCAGTCAAATCTTTATATCCATATTGAAATTTTCATTTGCTTCCGTACATTATCACATAATTTAATAATCATGTAGATCCGGGGTTGACTCCCAATCTGAGCATCCTCCTTTTATTTCCTTCAGCGGGGGACACAACTTCTCTGAATGAGCTTGTTTAGATTTAGTACCATTCTCTTTTAACGTATTGAACAAAGAAATATGTTGGCTTTCATTTCTGCCTATCAATCATTTTTCTTTAATTCATTTCAACCGCAGAAACCGTTAGCGAGAAGTCAGTGTATCTAATTAACCATTATTTGTAGATACAGATCTTTTCAAAGAAATAAATGGGTTGATTACAATAGATGTCCCCTCTCCATATATTGAGGTCAGCTCTTTACTCGGTATGGACTAAACCTACCGTATAATGAAAACATGCTCTATACTTCTAAGTAAGCCTCATTATGCCATCTTGCTCTCGTTACAGTTCGTTAACAGGCCAGGTCACCGTCCATTTATTTAGTACATCTACATTTATAAATATTTCTGTATTCTCAAGGTCAGGAGGAAAGAGTGACAGATATGTTTATATGTATAGCTGTGCTTTATAGATAGGAAGTCTGTTTTCCTGGATAATTCAGTCATTCTCAACATTTATCAGGTTTGAATGAACTATATCTTTTACTATGGACATCTGCATATTCTTGCCTTCATCAATAATTTTATTATTCTAGCATTAATTTTTTAATATAATACAATTTCATTTATTTTTACTATCCATGCATCATTCTATAAAACACTTTTAATATTATATAAAACATTTTCCAAAGTACATGCAAATAATTGTATATATTAAAAACCTCTGAATTCATAGCATTTTTCAGCCTCAGGAATATGGAGGCGAACAGTAAGCTACATTTCGTCAGCTCCCTTGATGTTCCTCGCTCCTCTAACCGCGTCATTCTGGAGTATGTGTTCGCGAATCACACCAACTACCAGTTCTGGAGTAAAGTACGAGTAGTGGACACCGAACCAAAGACTGTCCAAGGTGCGACCCCAAAGCAAAATTATTCAACACTTTTATCTATCATTTGACAAGGATGGCATTTATAACCTTTATACCCCCATCCCGAAAAACCCTCTGTGTTCATTTATATGTACTTGAATTCATGTAGATAATATAATGTTTTTCTCTCCAGATTGTCCTGTTTGGGATAATTATATGTGGAACAGCATCAACCAAGACGATTCTGAATTTTTTGACATGATAATGAAGCCAGTAGCCATGTTTGAAAATCCCTTCCTGAAAAGTCCCCATAAGCTGGTTCTCTGTGACATGTGGCTAACACTGGACACACCTGCAGGTACATAGCACCACATTAAAATGTTAGGGAGAGGGCTAAAATACATGTAGGCTTTGCCTGCTGCCCGATCACATTCAGTTTGTGTGAATAAAATTTTGTACAAATAAAAAAAAAAACATGCAACATCACTGAGTTGGTAAAATATTTTTATTTTTTTATTTACCAACTTTATGGATGCTCGGGGGGGGGGGGGGGGGGAGGGGGGTGTAGCAAAACATTATCCATGTGTATTTTGATATCTTATATAATGATTGTTTGATGTTACTTCTAAGCAAGAGATAAAAACAGAAATATAAAGATGTTTTAACCAGAAAAATATTAAAAGTTTTTCTTTAAATAATTACATTTATAGGAATAAACACGAGAGTCCAATGTGTTGAAACAATGGAGAGACTAAAACATGACCCAGTGACGGGTCACCGCCCCACACAGCCCCACGACCCGTGGTTTGGTATAGAACAGGAGTACGTGGTGATGAGAGATGACGGAAAGCCAGCCAGCTACGACAACAATACTTACGACTACTCCTCACTTAGTAGGCTGCTTTACCTTCACTAAACTAAATTTATCTGCAGTTTATTTCTACTTGGTAAAGGACAAAACTGTGAAAGCAACATAGATGACAGAACTTTGAAATAAAAAAAATATTATATTATGGCTAGGTAGCAGAAGAGGGGAAAATCCACGAATTTTAGTTGGCGAAAAAAGCGAATTTTAGAATTTTATAAACATCAGTTTCCTTCTTTATCTTTTTTACTTTAGTGAAAAGTTTAGATATTGTAAAAGAATGTGAAACTCTACAAATTTGACCATTGTTGAACAAATAACGACGTCGTAATATTTTGGTTAAAAATATTGGCAATAGAAACTAGAAATCAACATTTGTACTCGTACAATGATTAAGTTTAGAATGAGTTGACAATACAATCGTCTTCAATATTAAACTCTCTAAATACTGACAAGAAAATCCATGGAATTGCTTGGAACATTTTCCTTGGGAAGTTATCTCTCTTTATATCAGAGGGATATTACACCTTAAAATAAACTTTGTAGAATATCCTTGTACAGTAAGTATCAATTCAATTACTATTTCCCCTAGTCATTTACTGCAGTATTGGACATGAACACGACAGGAATGTCGGAATAGAGAGGGACCTGTCAATCAAACATCTACAGGCCTGCATATACGCCGGGATTTACGTCAGTGGATGTATACGGGAAAATGGGCCATCTCAGGTATTTCTCTTCTGTACAGATAATATATAATCTGTCGACAAAATGATACATCAATGAATTTTGGCTTCGATACGAAAATTTCCTTAATGTTTAGAAAAATCTTACAAGATGAAATAAAGATATTCACAGTCAAAAAAAATCATTTTAGACAGACAAAGAAGACAATATTATTTTAGGTAGGTGTAACGTTGTGTATATATTTATGATTAGGCGTGCGTGTAACTTTCAGTGGGAGTATCAGGTGGGGCCATGCCTGGGGGTGACGGTGGGGGACCACCTCCAGATGTCCCGGTATATCCTACTGAGGCTGGCGGAGATGTACGGTCTGAGGGTCACCCTGAAAGCCGCCCCGGTCAGCGGGGAGGCCTTCTTCTCTGGGGGACATCTCAACTTCAGCGTCAGGAAAATGAGGGAAAAAGGCGGAATCAAGTAAGCTTCTCTTCTTTAAATCATTGCATTAATTTTTTAATAAAAAAAAGGTTAAAAGAACTCAATAAAATCTTGTTGCAAACAATGTCGGTCTTCCCATAAGACAAACTCAAGTTTTAGTTATTCACTATGTGATATAATGGACCGAAGTTTGAATCTTATTTAAATGAAAATGTAAGTAACTCTGTGAATATTTTAATCTGATTCCAGATTTATACACCATGCGATTGAAGTATTATCCAAATCTGATCCTTTGCCGCTACTACAACTTTACGATCAAACTCTGGAGAAAGACAACTCGGAGAGACTCGCCAACAAGTCAGGGCACTGGCACCCCCGGCAGGACGACTTCGTGGTGGACGGGGAAAATAAAGTGTTCACCACGATCAGAATCCCGCCCCTGGTGGCGGCCGAGGGGCGGGGCTACATGGAGGACAGAAGACCCCCCTCCTCTGTGGACCCATACGCAGCTACTTCCGGACTCGTCCGCGCATGTATATTCGGGGATTTCTTGAAGCCGGGAAATGAACATCTGAAAGATCTTTCAGTTTGGGATAAAGATGCATCTGAACTGAATTGATTCAATATTTTGTAGTGATTGAATCTTTCCTACTGTAGAGGAATTCATAAAGTCTACAAAAATCACAAGTTCGTAGTAAAAAAAGTTTACCTGCAGATGTACGATAGACTTAGACATAAAGGGGGTAACAGACTACAGCCAAAAAACCCTGGGCTGTCTATAGTTACAATTATTAATTATTATAAATCAATATCATTGTGTAAAATTTGAATAAAACATTTAAATGAAATTGGAAAGAAAACTGCTTTCATGAATACCATAACAATTTTTTTTATGGATCCTTAAAGAAACTCTCTTGGTATATAATTTCATTATTTAGAAAGAGTTCGATCACGAGATAGCGTTTTTTGGTTTTTGTTTTGTTATGGGGGAATATTTCATGAACATTATAGCCAGAAAATGTCTTGTTGAGTAATGCTTACATGTCATGCGGATTCAATGGAGTATCTTAATTCTGGAAATAGAAATAATCAATTTGGTATGTCCTTGTCTAATCCAGCTCAAGCTTTGACAGCCGGTGGGGTGACAGCTTCAACCAACCATTCCAACCAACCTCCCCCGTCCCCTTTTATTCACAAGTTTGTAAACTACATGTAAAGATAGATTTCATATTTATTCTTCAGATAATATATATAAGGAATTTACATTTATATTCCGTTAGTTGATAAATATGTATTTTACCATGATAATGTACATCTACACTGTAGGATTGATTTAAAGAAATTGAGTTACCTCCCTTTCATTATAGTTAGAGTGGAGATGGCATGTAAAAACAATTTTAAAAGAATTTCTCAGATTAACTAGGAACCATTGAGTTACCTTAATAAAAACTTGGGGGGGGGGGGGGTAGACTGTATATATAGATTTTTCATCTCTGTAATATGTACTGTACCACTCGTCAGAAATGCTAGAAAATGAAAAAGTGATTTGGTTCCCATGTTCTCAGAGAATATTGACAACATCAGTGACAGTGGCATCCATCCTGTAATATCTAACTAGTATTTCCTAACTCTCCATACAGATATAAAGTTTAATTTGTGTTCTGTGCATTCTTGCAATCGCACAGACAAACCAATTTCTTTGTTTTTTCTTGGCAAATATTTCATTTTGTGAAAATAACTTAATTTAACACACACGCAGGATTGTCCATGGATAACAAAATACACGCATGTATGTACTCACTGGTTACTGAAATTGTTTGTATATGTAACAGTTACATGCATGTGACATCGATTTTTAAGAATAGAGGAGCCATAAAAATGGCAAGATACATGTATTTGAATGGAAGCGTATACAAGGAAAAATAAGATGAAAGAAAGTTGCCCAAACTCACTTCAAAACCCAGCTACTTCTCAGCTGGTGATAGAATCGCCAAGCGACAACTACGGCGTGCATTTGGAATTTTCAGCACTTGTTAAGGTGTCTGAAGCAGATTACACAGAATAGACCCTTTTGTTGTCTAGAAATTATTCCCCTTAGCCGCCATATTGTGGGGCAACATATCCAGTTCCCTTCATTATTCAACCAAGTTCAATTTGTTATACTGGTTAATGAGGTAAAGATAACACTATTTTTCTTATGAATATACGTTTGTCAAGGCTTCTATTAATTTATGATTTCAAAATTGTAAATATTTTCCAACATATATTTCTTGCATGCATATCAAAAATTGGTTGCTCAAAGCACAGGCACCTGAAGTATGGAAAATACCCCCCCTTTTTCTGTTAATGAAAAAAAATGTAAGAGTGTATAATATCTCAAAAATACAAAATTTCCACGTCAAACACATCCATGTGTCGTTATATGCTAGCAGATTGTACTTTTTCTCAAAGAGGTAAATTCACTACTTTGCCCTACAAAATGGCGGCTAAGGGGAATAACTCCTAGGCAATATATGTCATAGGAAAAGGGGCTATACTGAGGAGGGTATGGAAATCGTGAAAGGAGGCGGATCTATTGATATAAGCCTTATAAGGTATGTACATGCATAATATACATTAAATCATACAGTTTGACACAGGGACTAACTGCTATATATGGAAGACTCTGTATTTGATTTTCCCGCGAAATTAACTGGGCGAAATATTCACATGACTTGTGTTTGGCTATTCCATCAATTATTTTTTTGAAAATTGCTAGTACCAAGCTTTGCAGGCTTTAGCAGTTTTGAGCTTAATCATAAAATTTGAATGATGGTATTCTACTTAAAGAAGAAATTTGCTTCCGACGCCAACACGTTAATCAAGGAAGGGGGAGGATCTATCTTTTTCAAAGCTAGACATAATGGCATCGTAAATTGGCGCTCCAACTTTTTTCGCTTGGTTTAGCGGCAGCCCTCTTCCCCACCGACGCCTTTATTGAAAGAAGCAGGTACATGTAGTATCTTGATTTTTGGTCAGGTGATTTAAATAGATCTATTTTTATTTAGTCTCGTTCAACCAGACACTCGGCTGTCTCCGTAAATCTCCGACCAGCCGAGCGTCTGGTTGAACGAGACTATCTCTAACCAGGAAGTAAATTACACAGGTTACAGGTAACAGATGTCATCAAAGTCTCGACTAAAATCTTGCTCTGACATTTCAATTTGTTAACAAACATATTTAGAGGTCATTCAAACCAAATGTAAGTATAGACGACTACTATGTATGATAATTGACTATTTTTCTTTTCAGAAAGCATTCTTTGGATTTGATCTGAAAATGCAACCAGAGATATTTTTTGGAACGCTGAAACTATATTACCTCAGTTCATGTATTATAATACATGTAATACTGTATATAAATCTAATGTAATTTGAAGTCAAGAAAATTAGCATTTTATTTTTCAAGTTATTCAATCTAATTCCCAAATATGACATACATAAGCACTATATGACAGGAAAAAGCTGTTTGTCAGAACTAAACATTGTTTACGTACAGTGCAGCATATAATGCTAATTATATAATTTGAGTTTCTATACCTATGTTAAGAGCTTCTTTATTTATTTCAGATGGCACTTTCAAAACCAAAAATTCCAGACACTCCTCAACACTTTCTAGAGTGTGGTTTTGAAGATTGTGAGAGAAATTTTGAATTTTACTGCAATTCCTGTCATCAACAAATGTGCAAACTATGCAGAGACCAACATTTAAAGATTCCAGAAAACAAAAGCCATGAAGTGGTCCTTTACCAGAAACGTAAACGACAACCCCCTGTGATGAAATGTAGTATCCACCCCACTAAAAAGAAACAGATATTTTATGTGAAGAATGCAATATTCCTATATGTTCAAAGTGTTCAACCATGCAAGAGCACTGGGGGCATCATTTTATTGATTTAGAAACTATATACACACAGGCAGTTGAACTTTGCCAAAAGGAACTATCTAAAATCCATAATTATTTTATTCCTACTGTCCTCTACAAAAATTTGAATTATTCAATTAAAATTTGTCACCAAATTTTCTATTTTAATAAAAATTTGAGGGAAGACACTACGTCAAAGGATTTACAGAGAGAAGGTCGGGAAGATGCCACAGAAGTTAAACAGATCATGGACAGCATACGGACATCCATGAAGGCTGAAGCCGAGTCTCTCAAAAATATGGTGGACACAGTGCTCTCAGAAAATATGGAAGAATTATACCAAATAGAGAAGTCATTACTGGAGAAATTAAAGAGCCAAGAGAAGACATTAGATGATTACATTGCCTATCTCAGTGACCTTGTTAAAGAGTTCCAGAGTTACCTGACTGTCCTCTACTGAGCTCACTGACTTCACAACTAAACTTCCAGACAACTTAAGAATAAAATCCATACCAGAAACCACAAAATCTGTCACTCCCGAATTTTTTTCTGCTCAATACAACAAACATGATGTTAATAAGTTATTAGGGAAAGTAATTAAAACAGATAGAAAGGCAGAACTAAGAAGAATAAAGCCAATGGTAATTCCTCCTATTGTTACATCAATGAAATCTACAAGTGAACAGACAAAACAAGATAAACACGTGAAATCTGACAAGAAACAAACAATGTCTCTATCTGCCTCTGTCACCAAGGTCAGGGAGTTCTATGTACAAGGTGTTGATGATGTATACCATGTATCACTAGATCAATCAGACAGACTCTGGATCAGTGACAGGTATGGTAATCTTGTCCAAACAGATCTACAGGGGAATGTGATACAGAAAATTAAAACCAGCGGTAAAGATGAAGGTTACCACTCAGTGACACAGGACAGGGATCTGATCTTTACAGACCAACACAAGAAAGTCATCAATAGGATAACAAAGGATAATACCATCACTGAATTCATTAAAACTGAAGACTGGACACCACTCAGCATACATTCCTCCCACATCAATGGGGACTTACTGGTGGGAATGTTTAAAGACGAGGTTAGGGGATTGATTTGGATGAAAGATTCAGAGGCTAAGGTCACCAGGTACAACAAGACAGGAAAAGAACTCCAGAACATACAGAGGGATAACAAAGGACAGAAACTGTATGGTATACTACACTACATCACAGAAAACATCAATGGAGATATCTGTACATCAGACTATGATAAAGGAGTAGTGGTGGTGAATAAATCAGGACAACACAGGTTCTCCTACACAGGTCAAAAGTCAGGGTTCAGTCCCTATGGAATCTGTACTGATGTCCTCGGTCACATCCTGGTGTGTGATGTTATCAGTAAAACTGTTCACCTCCTTGATCAGAACGGTCATTTCTTGTCTCTATCACACACCAACAAGGGGTTTACTTTCCCCGTAGTGTGTGTTTGGATGATGAGAACAATCTCTATGTAGGACAACGATACTCCAACGAACTGACAGTGTACAAGTATCTATAGTGATTCTTATTCTGTTTAAAACATACTGTATACATATAGTTACACTAAAGAAGTTCTCCTTATTTGTATACAGAAATTAGTATCCTGTAATATGTTTTTATATTGATCAATGTGTTTATATACCAGTATTTATATGTATAACTAAATGTAGTCAGAGTGAAATTTATAATTTCTACACATTATTCAAAATTCAAAGCTTAGCTCAAATAAATGAAAGATATTGCATGAAAATTTGAATGCACAATTTTTTTTTTTACATTTACTGTAAATAAAGTGTTACAGTATTACAGAAGCTACTCATTTTGAAAGACAACAACTAGCATTTATAAGTGGATGTTTTTTTTTTTTGTTTTTTTTTTTTTTGAATAAAAGATTTTATTTCAGATACATACATAATTTCATATTTGAGGCATCACCTCCGCAGAGGCCCTCATCATATACCACACCTGGGGTGCCAGGGGCTCCCTGGATCGGTAACAAATTTTATACATGTATAAAAGGTAAATCAATGCCCTGTTCACACGACAAGTTTAATTCGCAGTAAATTAATGCGAAGCAAACTAATGCGAATCAAACTAATGCGTATTAAATTGCGTTCACACGACAGCTAATGCGAAGTAAACTAATGCGAATTAAAATTTTACTTCGACAGTCAGGCGTGAGGAAGGCTATTATGACGTCATTTGCAAATCACGTCACCTTATGCAGAAGCAGATGCATTTGACATAATGTCACAGTGTCTGGAGACATATTTTAGTGATTAAGACATTTTTTCTTAGTTTTTGACTCAAAAATAGCACAAGTACTTAAAGTTGACCACCGACATGATGCATTTGACTCAATTTTGCCATTACGCATGCCCCAAAATTTAATTCGAATTAGCTTCGCTTAGCGTTCACACGAAGCTAATGCGAAGTAATTTAATGCGCAGTAAACTAATGCGAAGTAAACTAATTCGCATTAAATTCTCCGTGTGAACGCTAAGCGAAGCTAATTCGCAGTAAACTTACGTTTAATTCCAATTAAACTCTCCGTGTGAACAGGGCACAAGAATAATTTTGTTAAATAAATATATCAAGTATAAACTTATATAATATAGTGTATGATTTTAGTAGAAAGTAACTCTATTATAAATATAGTTGGTAACAATGACATCATGATTATATTCAATAGACGATAATTAGCTGCTTCAAAAATATGCAGCAGTGACATCATATTTATAAAACCCAGTATAAGGTTATAGTAGAATATACATAAATTTTACAAACAGAATAGTTGACAGTAATATCATGCGGCAGGACTTGCTTTTACAGGTCACCTTCACAGTCCATTTTGTCCTGCCACATGGATGTACATGCAGAGGGCCAGCTCACCGTCTAGTACATATAAAATTGATACAATTAATATACATAAGTTTTATGACAACAGTTCAAGAATTTTAAAATCTGAATTTATATATTTTGTCTTTTTAATAGTAAAATACAACTGCATCAGCGCGGTTTTTAAAAAGCAACACACTCCTTCATATGTAACCTGATCTTTAACAATTCTACATTTCATTTTATATTTGTAAATCTTACACGCCACGAATGACAAAGTATTATCTAAAATAAAAGTGTATTTGTTGTTGAAAATAATAAAGCCTATAACAATCATTTTCCATGTTATATCTATCTTTATTAGTTGAGAAATTTTACTCCAGATTGGCTTTATCAAGTCACATTCGAAAATCAAATGTTTGATATTTTCTTGTGTATCGCAGAAATCACAGTTGCCACTGTTGTTTTTATCCCACTTACTAACGGATAGATTTGTAGTCAACAGATTATGTAGTAGCTTATAACTAAATTCTGATACAGATTTATCAAATAATGAGCGAACTTTAGTTTCATATATAGTATCGAATTGACTCTTATATATTTGGAATTCTCTACACCAGATATTTTCCATGATTGGCTTGTGCGATTTCTTTTTTATTAAAATGTTGTAGAAAAAGAGGCCCACGGGCCTTATAGGTCACATGTGTATCGTGTAACATCTTTCAACCAATTAAAATTGGTTCGTGTTTTAAACCAGAGGCCATGAAATTCACAAATCACAATTTTGAAAGAGGCACCATTGCTTATCATAATTATAAAGTTAGCATAATACATTACTTAATACCCAGAGGTAGATCAGAGTAACAAAGAGAAAATGCACTTCCACTTTATAACCAGTTTTGCACCTCAACCCAAAGCAACCACTGACCCTGGGGTCACATATTTCAAAATTTTGCAAATTTTATCATAAAATGGTTGATTAATACTAAAGAGCAGATTTCAAGGCATTAATTTTTTTTCAGACTATGTAACCCCCCCACCCCCTCGACCCAGGGGGCATAAAAAATAACCATTTTGCTAGATGCACTTTTCTTCATCATAAATATATACATGTTTACTTGGATCATTGGCATAAGACCCAGGAGCAAAGGAAAAGATTTTCGAAGAATTAATGCATTTTCACTATATAATCAATAGAGCCCCATCCTAACACCAGAACACCTGACCCTGGGGCCATAAAATTCACAATTTTGGAAGTGGCACTCTTGCTCATCATAACTATCTACTTAGTTAGTTTATTTAATACCCAGAAGCAGAGAAGAATATTTTTTAAAGAATTAATGCATTTCACTATATGATCAATAGAGCCCCACCGTAACACCAGAACCCCTGACCCTGGGGCCATAAAATTCACAATTTTGGAAGTGGCACTCTTGCTCATCATAACTATGTACTTAATTAGTTTATTTAATACCCAGGAGCAGAGGAGAAGATTTTCAAGGAATTAATGCATTTTCACTATATGATCAATAGAGCCCCGCCCTAACACCAGAACCCCTGACCCTGGGGCCATAAAATTCATAATTTTGGAAGAAGCACTCTTGCTCATCATAACTATGTGCTTAGTTAGTTTATTTAATACCCAGAAGCAGAGAAGAAGATTTTCAAAGAATTAATGCATTTTCACCATATAATCAATAGAGCCTCGCCCTAACACCAGAACACCTGACCCTGGGGCCATAAAATTCACAATTTAGGAAGAAGCACTTTTTCTCATCATAACTATGTACTTACTTAGTTAATTTAATACCCAGGAGCAGAAAAGAAGATTTTCAAAGAATTAATGCATTTTCACTATATGATCAATAGAGCCCCGCCCTAACACCAGAACCCCTGACCCTGGGGCCATAAAATTCACAATTTTGAAAGTGGCACTCTTGCTCATCATAACTATGTACTTACTTAGTTTATTTAATACCCAGAAGCAGAGAAGAAGATTTTCAAAGAATTAATGCATTTTCACTATATGATCAATAGAGCCCCGCCCTAACACCAGAACCCCTGACCCTGGGGCCATGAATTTCACAATTTTGGTAAAGGACTCAATGCTCATTACATTCATGCCAACAGTTTGCCTGTTTGATGTCCAGGAGTAAAGAAGAAGATTTTTAAAGATTGCAATAATTTTGATGGTTTTTGCCCCATCCCTCAGGCCCAAGGGGGGCTGGGACCATAAAATTCAAAATTTGTATTCCCCTTCACCCATAGATGCTGTATACCAAATTTGGTTGAAATTGGTTCAGTGGTTTCAGAGAAGAAGCTGAAAATGTTCAAATGTTAACACACGACGGACGACGCACGACGACGGACGAAAACGGATAGCAATAGGTCACCTGAGTTACTCAGGTGACCTAAAAACAAGATTTTTTTATTAGAAATATCTTCAAATTTCCCGTCAAAATAGAATTGTTGATTAGCGTTTGTGTTTACGAAGTTTATACTTTGTATGTTTATGCGTGAATAGTGTTTCTATAAGGCGGTCTTTACCATTAGATATTCGCAAAGGAAATTATTAGTGGATGCTAATTTTTCTTTAATTTCATTTACATTTTTGAAACCATTTCATTAAAAAGGTCTTTTACTAACAAAAGACCCCCTTTGGTCCAATTCGGAAAGAATAGTTGTTAACCTTTAAAGCAAATGTTTTTATTAAGCCAAATATCCTGATTTGCAAGATTTGTAAAAGTATTATCCTTACATTCATTAAAAGCCAAGACAACCTCTTTATAAAACTCAGGAAGGGAGTTTAGTTGTAATCATTGTAATTTGTTACGCTTGAATTTGTTAAAAATGCAAAATCTATATTATTTTTGTACAAAACAGCATTTACGAGAGAGAGTAGACTGCTTTCATCTTTCGTAATCTTTGTAACCCATGAGGCTTTAATAGCTTTGACTTTAGACTCAAAGTCAGTGATACCGATTCCGCCTTCGTTTATGCTTCTTATTAAGGTTTTGCGTTTAATTCTTTCACGGTTACCCCAAAAGAAGGAGAATATTATTTTGTTTACACTTTTAATGAAAGATTGCTCTGGGTTCTCTAATATTGAAGCAGTGTATAATATTTTTGAGATTAATAGAGAATTTATAATCTGACATTTTCCAAAAATAGTTAATTTTCTGCTTCGCCAAGAGTCAAGTATTTTTTCAAATTCTCCTAATTTGCATAGCCAGTTTTTCTCATTTCTTTCTGCTTCGTCATGCCCTATGTATATGCCGAGGCATTTTATTGTTTTAGAGTTAATTCTGACACCATGTAGAGATGTCTCCCCTTCCATGTCTTGTTTAAGTTCTCCCAATAGAATACATTCTGTTTTTGATAGATTCAACTTTGTACCGGATATCGACCCGAAATCTTCAATGATTTTAATTACGTGTTTAAGAGATTCTTCATCTTTGACTGGAAAAGTACTATCATCCGCATGCTGTATGCATTTTATTTCCTTTTGCGTATTATATATTTTAAAACCTTGAACATTATCTGATTTATTTACCTTTGTAGATAAAATTTCCATTACGAATAGAAATAATGTAGCTGAGACAGGACACCCCTGTCTGATGCCTCTATTCATCTGACA